CTGAGAAGGGCACTACGGGGCCCCACAGGTTCCACACACCGGGGCACTTCCAAGGTCAGGATGATCTGGGGAGCCCAGCCGCTGCACTTGCGGGGCCCCCCAAGTACATGGCCTCTTGTCCCGACTGCACACTTCCAAATTAAAGCGGAAAGATGGATCCCTTCCAAAAGAGAAAAAGAAAATACTAGCTATTCATTAAGGCCACTCCCCAGCCTCCGCTAGTGATGAGTCAGGGAAGGCGTGGGGCCTTGCCTTGGGCCGGGGACTCCGGGTCACTCTGCAGACTTCTCCCCACCCGGACGCCTGGAAATAGCCCAAGCACAGAGGCATGTGTTTGTGTGTCTGCAGGTTTAGCATCTTCCAGAACAAAGTTAACTGGGTTATGTTTATGTGGCATGACTGTCTGTTCTATAGAATCAAGAAAGGGCGGCAACCAGCAGTTAGCATAATGGCTATGTCACTGGACTACCACGTAGTGGACCACAGTTCGCGTCCCGGACCCGGTGGCTTAAACTCACACCGGGCGCATGTGCGTGCATGCCCAAGATCCCGAGAGGAGAATGGAGGAGAAGGGATTGCAGCGTGACCATCCCCCCTGGGGGATGATTTCTCGCTTTCTGTCTCTATGTCTCTCTCTGTCTGTCTGGCGAGCGCACGCGCCCTATAGCGAAAAAAACTCTCAAAAAAAAGAAAGGGCAGACAGGCTCTGTAGCCTAGCGGTTAGCCCAGTTTGATCCCATGTGGCCAGTAGACACCTCATAGGGCTTGAAAAACACTTCTGGTATGTATGGGTGCCCAGAGTCCTGGCAGGATGGAGAAACAGAGAAGGGATGTCACAGAACTGGGGGTGGGGGCGGAGGTTGAGGGGGTACATTCAGCCTCCTCCCCTCCTCTCTCTGCCATCACACACACTCTGGCAATGTAAAAGAAAAGAAAAAAGAAGGAAATTCCAGAGGAAAAAGGATCCTTGCTCTCTAAGTTCATAGCTTCTTTCCATTTGAGCTGCATTTCAAGGCTGAGAAAGATAGCCAGGTGACACATGGGAGGACAGTCCTGAATGAAGGACTGAAAATGGGATCGTGTTGGGGTGAAAATGCTGGCGCCAGGGTAATCTGGAGCCATATTGCTCATTATTATTATTATTATTATTTTGGAAGAGCTTTTTGCTATAGGGCACGTGCGTTCGCCAGACAGACAGAGAGAGACACAGAGAGACAGAAAGTGAGAAATCACACCCCAGAGGGGATGGCCATACCTCAATCCCTTCTCCTCCATTCTCCTCTTGGGATCTTGGGCACGCATGCACAAGCGCCCGGCGTGAGTTTAAGCCATCGGGTCCAGGACTCGAACCGTGGTCGACTACATGGGAGTCCAGCGACATAGCCATTACGCTAACTGGTGGTCCCCCGTATTGCTCATTTTAAGGATTCCAGCATCAATGCTGAAGACAGTGGGAGCTGTCAATCAGTTTAAAGCGTGGGTACGGGGTATCCCCAGGAAGCACCCTCGGATGACACCAGGAGAATGGGTACAGTCAGAAGGAAGGCGAGGAGAGGGAGGAGGAAGCCCCTGCGCCATCCTGGACTGAGTGAAGGCAGGGGTGGTGGGACTGTGGAGGGTGGAATGGAGTCGGGAATGCTAGGGAAGGGATTAGGCTTGGAAGCAGGGGTTTCTGGTTTGGGCCTGAGAGAGAAACAAAAATAAATACAGCAGGTAGGGGTAGCCACGGGACAGCTACTGACTCCTGGGATGACTGCCTCCGGCCTCTAGCACATTCAGCAGTATCTGGAGACACTCTGGATCTTCAGTGAGGGGAGGCAGATGGCTAGGCGCATTTAGTGGGCCGAGGCCAGAGATGCTACTGAACTTCCCAAATGTGCAGGACGCCTCCCCACCCTAATAAAGAGTGCTCTGGCCCCAAGCGTCAGAAGTGTGGCCGTTGAGGAATGTGGAGTAAGGGGAGTTCAGAGTGAGAAGAGACGGAGCCCCAGGGAACTCTGCACGTTTAAAGGATGGGCCGAGAGCTCAGAAGGTCTTTGTGAAGTCTGAAAAGGAGTGGCCAGAGAGAGGCCACTGACCAAGGCTGATTAAGGGGACGTCCTCAGTCAGCAAGCTTTGGTGGACAGTGGGGACAGTGGGTTGAGTGTTACAGCCGACTGCTCTGGAAGCACAGCCTCGCTGGAGCACATGAAGAGTGAGGGCCTGGTAGGATCTCCAGAGCAAGGCCTCCCTGCTGCCTTCTGTGGAGACACCCGAGACCAGGCTACCAAGGACCCTGACGGACAAGCAAAGGGCTTTGTCAAGGAGGGCTCTTACCCACCCCCTTTCCTACAGGACGTGCCATCAGAGAACAGTAGACAAGAGCAGAAATGTGGACTTGGGAGGCCAGGCCTGGTGCAGCGGTGACAGGACAGCACCCCCATGGGAAGGCCCTGCCTTTGCGTCCTGAGCCCTCCCCGAGCAAGCTGTGTGGGCACGAGTGCACCCGGTGCCCACACCCCTGGCTGCCTAGGACTGGGGTGGATTGCGGTGTGCACCCGGTGCCCACGCCCCTGGCTGCCTAGGACTGGGGTGGATTGCGGTGTGAAGACTCTGTTAGGGATCCCTCTCTCTCTCTCTTTCACAGAAGAAATAAATGAATAAATTGGGGGAAAAAAACTGACTTGGTACTTGCATAAACAGGTGCAGCAGGTTGGAACTGGCTGTAGAAATCTGACCCCTCCCCAAGTCTGCTCTCAAACACCTCCTAGGTAAGGCCGGTAGTTCAGCTCTTCTTGCTCCCCTGGGAGGAACTCAGGGCTAATCCCTCTCTTCCAGCATGGGGTTTTGGCGTGGTGGATTTTACTCCTGGGGATGGCTGAAGATCCCCCTTGCGTGACATTTACCAGCCTGGTCTGCAGGGAACTAGAATTCCTTTCTCGATTGTCTTGACTGTATCGGGACACCATGGGTTTCCCCTAAAGAGATCCGGCCTCTTGGGTGATTTCTGAAATGCATTTGTATCATTTTTGTTCTTAATTTGCCATGTTTAATTTGTGTTTCCTAGAAAAACAAGAAAATGCATTTGAAATGCTCAACTCCACGCTTTGTCCTTTGTAAATGCCCAATAAATACCGACTGTGCTTATTATTTCTAAACTAACTTTGTGGGTCTAAGCCTTTTAAAACCTGTCTGCCGTAAGTTCAGATTCCAGCTACCCATATTTTTAAAGATTCACAGAGAACAAGTCTGCATATTGCCTTAAGACAGTATCATATACCAGTAGTCTCACGGCCTGAAGATTAATGTACACTTAGAGCATGTTCTTGTTTTCTGTGGAAAGCTGAGCCAGAAGTTGGATTTAGTACATCTTTCTATTGCAAATAAGATAAAAGAGAAAACAAAACATACATACTTATTTTCCATGGCACACAACTTCTCATTCAAGTAACAATCTCCAAGCACATCAACAATCAAGATTTTAGGCTGCCAGGTTAGAAATCTTTAGGCATAGAGGGGGGAAAAACCTCGTTCAGATGGAGGCGTTCAAAGTTTCCCTATTTCCTCTGGGATAACCTCCATGTTGGAGAGGGAAGGAGAGAGGGAAGGGAGAAGGTAGGCAGAGGTAGACGCAAGGCGTTGCTCAAGCCAGAAGATACTACTGCAACCCCAGCAGCCAGTTCCTAGAGCAGGTAGAACCAAATGCCATTCTGGAAGAACTTCAGCCAGAACTAATGTCTACCAGCCACGGCGACGGCCACAACAGAAATGAACTCCACGCAACCACTGGCAAGGCGGGTCGTTTACATAACGTGTCCAGCGGGTTCCAGCACTACTGCGCCCCGCCTCCACCCGACGCAACGGCCTCGCTCCTCGGCGCTTCTCGCGCCCCCTAGTGGACAAAGTGAGTAGGATTCCGCCGTAGAGGAGTCAACTGTTCCCGTTTCCCACCGCCTCCACCTCCACGCGTGGGGAAAGGCTAAGCCAGAAGGGGCAAAGGTCAGCTTCGATTCAAAAGAACGCCTTTCTCTCTGCTGAAATTCGCTTGCACTCTTTTGAGTCCGATATCCAAAACGACTGCCAGAGGCTTTTTCTTGGTCCGGAAGGAGCACTGGCCAGACTACAAAGGAGGGACTTTGGGGGAAATGCAGGCTCCCTGCCCTGGGCTGCTGCCGGGAGGGGATGAAGTCACCGCTTCTGCAGCGAGGCCTGGGGGTGGGGCAGGCCGGGGGTGGGGCAGGCGAGGGGGCGCCCGTAGCGCCTGCAGCTGCCAGAGCGCCGCTGCGAGCCCACGTCAGGGGAGGTGTCTCCCCGGGCGGCCGGCCGGCGATCAGGGGCTGGCCCCCGCGATCCTGCATTGCTGCGAGCTGCAGTTGAGGGGAAGAACTTCTCCTGCGCCCCGAAGGACTTCCCCCTGGGAGAAGGGACGGCGGCGGGCTAGGAGGGGCGGGAGCCAGGGGTTCTCTCCGTCTGGCGGGTCGCGGCGCGGGAGAGCGGGGCGATGCTGGTCTCGGTGCTGGCGGCGCTGTGCCTGTGGCTGCGCCTGGCGCTTGGCGTGCGCGGCGCGCCGTGCGAGGCGGTGCGCATCCCCATGTGCCGGCACATGCCCTGGAACATCACGCGGATGCCCAACCACCTGCACCACAGCACGCAGGAGAACGCCGTCCTGGCCATCGAGCAGTACGAGGAGCTGGTGGACGCCAACTGCAGCGCCGTGCTGCGCTTCTTCCTCTGCGCCATGTACGCGCCCATCTGCACCCTGGAGTTCCTGCACGACCCCATCAAGCCCTGCAAGTCGGTGTGCCAGCGCGCGCGCGACGACTGCGAGCCGCTCATGAAGCTGTACAACCACAGCTGGCCCGAGAGCCTGGCCTGCGACGAGCTGCCGGTCTACGACCGCGGCGTGTGCATCTCGCCCGAGGCCATCGTCACTGACCTCCCCGAAGGTGAGGCCGGGCCGGGGGAGGGGGCGAGCCACCCGGGCAGGCGCCGCCGCCGGAGGACCTGTTGGCCACACTAAACTTCCAAGGCTTGGAGGAGGTGGGGAGGTGGAAGGGACGGCTTCACTTCTGGAACAGATTCCAGGGATTTCGGGAGCCAGGAGAAAGCATTGCATTCCGTTAAGGGAAAAAAAAGAGATACTTTGCTTATCAAGGGAGTCTTTGGTGATGTTATTTACAGTAAAAACAGAAAGAATGACAGCAGCAAACAGGCAGGGCTCTGCTGGGAGCCAGTGTGAAGCGCTCCCGCTCGGTGAGTCGAGTTGGCTCATTTAACCCTTTTTCCACCGAGGGTACTTCCTGGGCCTTCTCTCTGAAAAAGTGGTAACAGCCACCACTTCCCACCAAGGGAGCAGGTTGAACCCTCCTTCCTGGCATGAAATGTGAGTGTCTGTGGATTCTTTCACGCAGGCTTCCCTAATCCAGCTTACCCTGCGCGGGAGAGCAGGGTGCTGTGCTCCTGCAGTTTGGGAATTTATACCTCAGAACATTTCCCGACACGGAAGCTGACGTGGTTAAGGAAGGGACCAACTGAAATGCTCCTCTAATTCAAAGATTGTTTTTGGAGAACGTATTGTTTAAATTATACAAGCAATAGAAGTTGGTGGCTTGTATTGGCTATGTAGCCGCACTGCAAATTATAGCATGGTGGTTTGGATTATTCTAGTTATTGTGAGTAGGGTAAACTGTCTACGTACAAAATTAACATTTTTAAAAGGATGGGGGGCGAGCATCGTGATTTATCCAGGTCGGCTGTTTGCATCAGCCAGGGTGGATGGACAGGCATTTACAGCAGTTCGTGCGTGGCTAGGCCAAGGGTCAAGTCTCCTGAAAGACTTCTTTCCCAAGCCTGGATGTCATTCAGAAACACGGAGTTGGCAAGTACGTGCCGTTTTGACTTTTCAGTTCTGTTGCTTTATGACTGTGGGAGTTTATGTCCTCAGCTGGTCCTATGGCCGTGAGCAGACCCGAGCACTGACCACGCCCATGGGGCCCTGTGTGTTTCAGACGTGAAGTGGATAGACATCACGCCCGACATGATGGTCCAGGAGAGGCCTCTGGACGTGGACTGTAAACGGCTGAGCCCTGGTGAGTTCCTGCACCACAGCTCTCTCCTCCTCCGCAGAGCCATGTGTGTACGCCTTTCCAACTTTGTGCCTCTCTTTTGCCTTTTTAGATCGGTGCAAGTGCAAAAAGGTGAAGCCTACTCTGGCGACATATTTGAGCAAAAACTACAGCTACGGTAATTCCCCTGATGAAACCATTCACTGTTGAGCCATGGCACATGACAGAGCTGCAATCTCAATAAGGTTATCCCTCCGAAAGCCAGTCTGCCAGCCACCAATGGAGGGTTGGTGGATTTCTAGTTAATCACGTGGGTCCTGTATGGTGCAATGACAGCTGTAAAATGGCTTGCTTTTCTGGGTAAATCAAATACAGTGAATTTCCCAGCGAGAGCAGTTATGCAGATCAGATTACAAGTTTGACACCTCAGTCCTCTTTGTCTTGGTGTGAAGCACTGCTGGCACAGATGACTTGTCCCACTGGTCCTCCTGAAGTTTCGTGGCTGAAGGATGAGTGAGTGATCGTTCCACGGATTTGCTTAGTGGAGCCCCTGAGAGTTAAGGATTAGATCTTTCTTGCACCAGAGACCAGTTTTTGTAGAAAATAATCTTTCCATGGATGTCAGGAGGGTGTGTTTTTAGGGTGATTCAATCAGGTTCTGTTTACTGTGCACTGTATTTCCTTTATTGTTACACTGTAATACACAATGAAATAATTCTACAACTCACCACAGTGCAGGGTCGTTTCACTGTCACTAGCTGGTCCAATCCCACGGTTCCCAGGAGAATCTAATGCCACTGCTGATCTGACAGGAGGTGGGACTTAGGGGATAATACAAATGATGAGGAGCAGCTGTAAATACAGGTGAAGCTTTGAAGGTCTGCTCACTCCCTTGTGCTCAACTCCTGCTATGCGGCTCGGTTCCTACAGACCACGGACCTGGACCTGTCCAGGGACCAGGGGTTAGGGATCCTTGTCTTAGAGGACTAGAGAATTAACAACTATGAATATTTAACATCTTAAAGATACTTTAAAGAAATATGTTATTCACAAAGTCCTATGGCTACAGCACTGAAATCATTTAAATGCCCTTCTCTTTCTTATTTGGAAAAAAAAAATCAGTACTTTCTTCAGAGAATAAGTAAATCATGGTATTTGAAATGTTTTAAGTAATTGTAATCCTACTATTACTATTTGAAAGTAAATTTAATTGGAAACTATGTTTTTTAAAAAAATCTGGGCTATTTTATATTTTATTACATTTCAAAAATTATTTCTGCTGAGATAACAAAACTTTTGAGAAAAATGTTCGTTTCATCTGCTAACTTAGTTTTCACAGCTAAGTTATGAAATTGAATTTTCATAAATGTTACAGACTTCATAAAAGTTCAATGAGATATTATATTAATAAAAAAAATCCTTTTATCTCACACATAAAAGGAAGGGAGATCATGATAAGGTAAAAATCTGAAAAAGTAGCCTCTTAAGCTTTCGGACTTGAGAAACATACATATCTCGTATGTATAATTCAACAACAACAAAGTTTTTCCCATTGTCTTTTTCTTAAAACCCGTTGTATGTCGGTATTGTCTTTATCTGACCTACTTAGTCCCTCATCTGCCAAGATCCAGCATGAGTACCAGCCGGAATGTCACTGTCACGCTCGTCTTTATGATGTCATGCTTTGGAATGACCTTGATGAGAAAAGCATTCTCTGTCCCAATCCTTCGGCCCTTTCCTATGCCAGCTTTGTAGGGTGGACTGTGACCTGTATTGGGCTGATGGCAGCTGTACGGGAGGCAGAATTAGCAAGAGAATGGCGAAGCCAGAGTTGAAAACTTGTTCAGGCAGCGACACTGACAGCCATCTGTGATAAGGCTGCTATTTCTACTCACCATGGGTCTTGCTTTTCTGGGCTGTGAAATTAATGAACTGAGAACGGTAATCCTCAAAGACTCCTTGCAGTTCAAAAATGTTATACCTCTAATAACTTTCTCTGTAAAATAGAAAAGGTTCCAGCATCAGGTGGGTGACTGGAGGAGTCCAAACTCTCAGGTGCCTTCAGAGTCAGAGCGGATGTCCTCACTTCAGTAAGCACACTAGACAGGACCGTTTCTGTGCGCTTTTTCCTGGCCTGACGTCAGAGCCCGGACTACGCCTGCCTCTCAGTTTGCTCTCCACCTTGCAGTGTGATCCAGAACCTCGAAGTAATGTTGACACTCGCGAAGCCACACTGAGCATGTGACTGTGTGGGCACTCGGCCTGCATTTGGGCCGCTTGGACATGACCATAATTACAGGAGGGATTCTTTAAGAGTGGCTCAGGAGTTGGCGTGAATACACCATCCCTAGTCTTGCCCCAGAGGCTTCAATGACACGTCTGTTTATTTTTAACTTGCAGTAATTCACGCCAAGATAAAAGCGGTGCAGAGGAGTGGCTGCAACGAAGTAACGACCGTGGTGGATGTAAAGGAGATCTTCAAGTCCTCGTCCCCCATTCCTCGGACGCAAGTCCCACTTATTACGAATTCTTCCTGCCAGTGTCCTCACATCCTGCCCCATCAGGACGTCCTCATCATGTGTTACGAGTGGCGCTCCAGGTGGGGACCCGGGGCCGCAGAGAACTGGGTGCTGCTCCCAAACGGGAATCTCACTTAGCCGTCACAATTTAAAAATGGCCGCAAGATAGTGCAATAGTCTTTTTTTTTTTTTTTTTTTTTTTGTACCTCTAATAGAAGCTTTTGGTGGGATATCATATATGCTAAATATCAAGTACTTACCCATGGAAGGAAGGAGAAATAGAAGTATCAGTATTGGCATAGAATCTTTAAAAATCTATTTCAAAGTTCATTAAGTGATTTCGAAAATTTATAGGCGAGTTAGTTACTCTGAGTAAGAACAATTCTTTTCAAATCATTCAAATAATATTAAGTAGGAAATGCTGAATGTTTAAAGCCTCTTTAACTCTGATCAAGTGAGGAGCCTCTGAGATCTCACCGTCATGTGTCTTCCTTATTCAGTGGTGCCCCTTATCCACAGGTTAGCTTTCTGCAGTTGTAGTTACACAGTCAACCATGCCCCCAAAATAAGTGAGTACAGTGTAGTAAAATAAGCAATTTGGGGGCAACTCCATAGCCTAGTGGTTAAGGGAACCAGATCGTCCTGGCACCCAATGGTTTGAAAAAAACGTGCTGGGTGGATGTGTGTGCATGCCCCAAATCCCAACGCAATAAAGAAATGGAGAAGGGATTGCAGCATGACCTTTGGGGGTACTGTCTCTCCTCTCTGTATGCCTATCAGTCTCTGGTGAATAAACACATAAGAAGATGTTTTGATAGAGTAGGAGAGAGCACATTTGCATAATTTTTTGAGTTTTATTTTCCCCTCTTAGGGCAATGTGCATTTATGGGGGAGAGAGAGAGAGAGAGACAGAAATAGTGAGAGGAAAAGTGAGAAATTACCACCAAGAGGGGATGGCCATGCTGCAAACCCTTCTCCTCCATTCTCCCAGGATCCTAGGTGTACATGCACATGTCCCCAGCATGAGTTTTAAGCCACCAGGTCCAGGACTGAAACTGTAGTCAACCGTGTGGGAGTCCAACAACGTAACTGCTGTGCCATCTGCTGGTCCCACATATATATTTTTTTTATTTACTTTAATTTGACCAGAGAGGTACAGAATGAGAAAGAGTGAGAGAGATGAAAAGTGAAAAAAAAAGCCACTAGGTCCAGGACTTGAACCGTGGTTGGCCATGTGGGAGTCCAGCACCCTTAGCCACCAGGACACCTGCCAGCCCCCTCTACGTAATTTTTATTACAGTAGATTGATACAGTTGTTCCATGTTATTAGCATTTGTTGTTGACCTCCTACTGTGCCTAGTTTATGATTAGACTTTATCATAGGGATGCATGTCGAGGAAAACCCAGCACACACCCAGTTTGGTTCTGTCTGTGGTTTCAGGTAACCACTGGTGGGTCTTGGAATGTATCCCCTGTGGACAAGAAGGGCCTAGTGTAGACCTTCAGGTATTTGTTTGGTGAAACAGCCATGCACACATGAGAATGCGCACACACACACTTCAGCTGACTTCTGAGTCTACGAATATGTGATTCTCAAGTTAGGTACTCACAGAGCAAAGTATAAACGTAGATATGTTTCACACACACACACGCACACGCACACAGATGTACATATCTAGCTGCGAGTGTCTGTCTCTCCATCGCTCTCCTTGTCATCGTCTTATGCATCTCTAAATTCTTCGTAATACAAAGTCAAACTCTTCAGCCCAGGTTCTAGGAAGGGCGCCCAGAATAGCTACCGGGTATTTCCTTAGCAAATCACTCATTTTTGCATGACAATTTCTTCTTCTGATACTCTGCACTTGATGTTCATCAGCTGCTTCTTAATACAGACTCAGACTCTTTTCTTCTAAAAAGAAAACAACCTCACTCTAGTATCCCTCGTTCTGTGTGATACCCATTTGGGTATCCTCACAAGTGAGCTTCAGCCATTCCTCTACTTCCAGTTCCTCTCTCTACAGAGTTAGTGTCTGTTTTTATTGTGTGATGTTTCTCCTGCTGCACAAATGCAGTTGGGACGTAGCAGACCACTAATCATTGAATGCTGTTTGGACAGATGAATGGATTATAAATCCATCCCAGTCAAGATATTTCTGGATAATTGTGGTTTACCTCCTCTCAAGTGCTAATGATGATCGTTTGGAAAAATGAACTGATGAGGGTATGTAAAGAAGATTTTGAAAATAAGCGATGGAAGGAAATCTGCCTTAGGAGACTCACAAAATGTGTACGAAGCTACCCTAGTTAAAACCACATGGTGCAAGAGTAGACAAATAGATAAATAAAACAGGAAAATTCTGGAAACCAATTCTAATGCATCGAAGAACTTTTCATTGTGAAGGAGATATGGCAAAACAGTAGGAACTGGATGTATTATTTAGCAAATGTTGCAAATATTATTTGGAAAAAAGTATATGTTTTCCACTTTGTGTAATACTATGAAATACATTTCAAACTAATGAAAGAGATAATAGTATAAAAAATCAAGGAAGAAAAAATTAGGTGACTAAATGTGTGGGTTGTCAGAAAAATCCTGCCATTATCTTTTCTACGCAAAAATGCACCATAACTTCTCTGACGACCCAATATGCTGTAGATATAAAGTAATTTAATAAATTATAAGGGAAATATCAATATACCTATTCGACTATATAATGTCATATATATAAAAATCACAGATAAAAATAGAAAAGGCAAACAAAAACTCGGAAAAATACTTGCGATGTATACAATAAAGAAACAGTAATCTTACTCTCTAAAGAGTTCATACAGATTAATATTTAAAACACTGAAACCACACATGCATACATAAATCTATAGATAGGTTCCAAAAGAAAGCACATAATAAACATTTGAAAAATAGTACCTTAATTTCAAACTCCAAATAGAAACAAGATTCCATTTTTACTTTATTCTTTTTGTTTTAAACTGCCAGAGGGGTGTGTGCTTACTAAAGAAAGACAGAGAAAGAGGGGGGGAGGCACCCGTGGGGCGTGGTCTCGTCACAGTCCCATTGCCTCCGTTTCTTCACCCTGTTGGGACTCGGGGCACACACACACGCCCAGCGTGTTTGGTAAGCTGTCCGGGCTGGGGTTCCAACCGCAGTAGGTTTTGTCTATGGGGCTGTCCCATTTATCTGATTCTTAAAGTCAGTGAATGGAAAAGTAATTTGTAATTATATAGTGAACATCTAAAAAAAGAAAAACAAAACAACCCTGTGGACCCAGTCATTGTGCCTGCAGAAGCCCGCACTAAGGAACCAATAAAGCACCCGCAAGGGCGTATATGAGGCTAATCCACATGACACCTGTAGTCATAGCTGAGCAGAAGACGGTGCTCAGAGGCCGAGAAGTGAATAGAGAGATGAAGACACTTCAAAAAGTTCATGTAAAAATGTAATTAAAGGAGGAACTTATTCTGGCGCCAAAAAAATTGAAATCCGTGCATATATTTTTTTTCTTATTTTATTTAACTTTATTTATTTATTTATTCATTTATTTTAAATTTGACTAGAGAGGAACAGAGAGAGTGCAAGAGAGAGAGATGGAAAATGAGAAAACAAGCCACCAGGTCTGGGAGTTGAATCTCAGTCGTCCATGTGGGAGTCCAGCGCCTTTAACCAATCTATGGATGCCACCTGCCAGCCCCCATATTTTTCATAATGTGCATTTTCCATGAACTTTGTGAAGACTATAGTATGACTATCAACTATACTACATTAGTTGAAATGTAATATTGTTATTAAAGTAATACTCTGAATTATTCAAATTATATCAGAAAACACATGTAACATAATGATAAAAGAAAATGTGTCATATAATCTAAATATACAGTGTAACCTGAAAATATATATAGGCAGAAGAATGAAAAGAAATATCAATAAAATATAAGTTATGGGTATGTAGATTATGATGGTAAGGGTTAATGAAGAATTTTCCTTATTTTTTTGTGTTTTTAAACTTCTTACTTTTATAATCAAATGCTGTTTATTAAGATACATTGCTTTTCTTTCAGGATGATGCTTCTTGAAAATTGTCTAGTTGAAAAATGGAGAGATCAACTTAGTAAAAGATCTGTAGTAAGTATAATCAACAGCACTGTGAATGAGAATGCAGTTCGCACAGAGAAAGTCTAGAATCAGGGTTTTTTCACATGGTCTTTTCTCTAGGCCTTCACGGGAGCCAGCAGTCGCGGCAGTGTTTGGCTTTTGAGTAGGTAGTTAAGAGTATAACTATTTTCACTTGGAGTTTTTAATCAGAAAATCCGTCATTTGAATCTAAATGTGAGTTAGTTGTGCTCAGTATTAATGTACTAGTTATTTCCAGTTTAAAATAGATGTTGATTCTTCATTGCTTTACACTTAATTGTTTTAGTGAGCAGCAAGATACTTGAGCAGAATTAATACTCATTGGTATTAAAACTGGTATATATTTGTAGAGATGTAAGTACCTTTTTAAAAAATTCATACCATCAGTTTATG